GACCACACTGGTATTTCAGTGAGTGGAGGAGGCAAGATGGTTGTTTTAGGTCAGACGGTATCTGATTGGTTAACACACAATAGATTCAAAAGTACATTTCCTGTCGCAATTGCCTCATCCTGGGCTTTGCAAAACCTATCACCTCTCTTTCATCTTCTGTTGCAACTGTCCATTTTCCAAACAATAACACCGTATAGTAATGTATAATGTATAATGTGTATGTGTTAGTCCCCATAGGGAAATTACTCCTCTGCATTTAACCCATTCACCCAGTGAAGCAGTGGGCAGCCACCAATGCAGCGCCCGGGGAGCAGCGTGTGGGGACGGTGCCTTGCTCAGGGGTACCTCAGGGTAGCTGTTCAGTCGAACCCCCGACCTTCCGATCATGGGGCAACCACTCTACCTACTGAGCTATCCTGCCCCCCCCCCCCCCCCTTTTTTTAAATTTTTTTTTTTAATGTTGCCTCTATTTGATTTTTATTCTTGTCCTTAAACCTTGAACACTCAAATAGGACTCAGTTCAGTCAGCCCTGCAATTTGTGGCATGTAGTGCAAGGTACAGATATATATCATGTTTTGCATTTGAAAACAAAGTTTTAAGACTCATCATTCGCTGGGGAGAAAGAATGCTACCTCAAAATTCAAGAAGAGCTGAAGAGCAAAGCTGAACCAATGCCTCTTGCACGCATGAGATGATTTAGCCTCTTGACAAAAAGAGATAATGAGTAAGTCGTGGGTCAAATTATATAGCAACAACACTGCAGTTGTTGAGATACCCGTGTTGCAGAAAACACATGATAAAAAATGAAAAAAAAAAACTTCGCAAAGCAGCAATTCTGCAGGAATTTGTTAGAAGTCAACTATCTATCTTGTCATGTTCCTGGGTCTGACCCAGCGTTTTGAGTTTTAGTTTATTTGGATGATATGTTTGAGTTCTTTAGGGTAGCTAAGTTGTTTACTAGTTTCCCTTTGTGTTTTCTACCGCTGTATTTCAGTTTCCCTTTCCCTTTGCCCTTCATGTGTTTCATGCTGCGTGTCTTATGTTGTCAAGTTTATATTGTCTTGTCTGCGTCACATGTTTCCTGTTATATTTTGAAGGTCTGTGTCCTATGTCAGTGTAGTCAGCTTTGCTTCCTTTGTCTCGTTATGTCAGACTAGTGTCAGCTCTTTCCCCGTGTGTTTCCACTTCCCCTAATCACCCTTGTGTGTATTTAGTCTGTGTGTTTCTGTTCATTCCTTGTCAGGTTGTCTGTTGTTCACGCCATGTTCTTTACACCAGGTTTCATGTCCAGGTTTTTTCATATTGTTGTTTAGATTTCCCAGTTTAGGTTTGTGTTAATTTTGCTTCAGTTTGCCTTGCCTTTTGTTTGTACCTTTTACCAGCCTCATTAAACGGCTCACTCTTTGTTAACATTCAAGTTTTGTTCCCTGTTCCTTGGGGTCTGCGTTTTGGGTCCTTATCAATTCATACAGTCTGCCCTCGCCAGACTGTGACATATCTTCTCTGCCCAAAATGTGAACAATGGCATCCTTGAAAGAGTGACCTTTGTCCTTTAGATGCAGAGCATTGTCCTGTTGAGGTGGCTCTTGTCTCCCATCTCTAATCCAGTGTTTGAGATCCCTTGCAGGAAGGAGGAAAAATAAAGCAAATTTTGTGGTCATTGAGTGAAATCCAATTCAGTTGTGCAGTTAGAAGACAGAAGGTGGCATTGCAGATAAAATAGCTATTATTACCTTGTAATTCCACAGTTAAACAGAAATGACTAAGAGACCACTATGACTGACTCAACTGTCAAATTCCTGCAGAGAGTAAGGTGAGTTCTGAAGATTCAGCTGAATGGGATGAACAAAATCCAGCCAATCAATACCTAAGTCCTGCCAGTCATCAAAAACCTTGTTGAGACAATAAGCTGACAAAAAAAAAAAATATAAGCAACTGATCTCAAGACAAGGAAGCTCCTTAACATGCATGGAGGGTTTCACCCCTAATCCAGCACCCTAACACTGAGGATTAATGACTGTCAGAAAGAAACACTATCTGAGATGATACAAGAAAGATCCATGACTACATAAGAAAGTTGGTCACAACTGATCGTGTGCTAAGTGATACCTCAGGCTTCAGAAACCAACAAAAGAAGAGGCACATGAAAAAGGAACCGTTGTGGAAAGACAGAATCCTGCAAGACAACCAGCAAGTGGAAAAAAATGGATGACAAAGAAGATCGTACCAATGGCTGGACAAAGAAACTAATCTCTTCATACAAATCACGGCAGCACAGGAACAAGTTCTAGGCAAAAGATCTAAGTACTTTAAGCACAAGATCAAGATCATTAGAGACCCGGGTTTACCGGATGCAGGCTGTTCCCATGAGATAATCCAGCACATAACAACAGGGTGCAAGATGCTTGCAGGCATGGAACACCATAACCAAGGGGCCAGCATAGTATAGAGGACCATTTGTGCAGAGCATGGCCTAGAAAATGAGATACACCCCAAAGGCGTTCAGAATGACCAAGCTGTGGGACTTCCAGAAACAGACAAACTTGTGAAAGCTAACCAGTGGGACATAATAGTGGAAGCAAGCAGAGGAAAGGGCTATAGTGATCTATGTAGCAATATCAAATGATGGCAACATTAGAAAGGACCACATGAACCTCAGGAAAGAGCTTCAAGAATAGTTAGAGAAATGTGGAAGTGAAGGCAACAGTGGTCTCCGTGTTAACTGGACCCCTCGATGCAGTGATGCTCAAACTGAGAGAGTGGCTCCAGTAGATTCCAGAAACAACATCTGAGTTCTTTTTCCAGATGAGCACAATCCTGCAAACAGCTAAGATTCTGCATAGGGGCCTCAAGCTCCTAGGGTCAAGCTTGAAGGACAAAGATCATCCAGAGGGTGAGGGATTAACTTTCTACTACCATAATCATTATGAAAGAATAAAATACTATCAATTTGGTTATTTTAATCTCACACAGAAAAAGTAAAACAAGAACACACAAAGATAATAATATGTTAAGACCAGTGAACACTGAAGAGTCACTGAGTCTCAAAGAGTGACAATCTTCTCCTGAACAGCAGCATAGTTTAATCCTTTAGGACCTACCATAGAACCAAGTCCGCCAGAGCTTATAGTATATTTTTACATGCTGTAGGGCCATTTGTGGGAGCATTTCAAGTTACTATACATCAGTACAATAGCCCAAATTTTAATAATATGTCTGCATTAAGTGCATAGTTATTACATAAATTGCAAAAAGTGCAATAAACTACAAAAAATTTAAAATCATTTTTTTTAACATATATTTCTAGTTAGAGAAATTTAAGAGGCTTATCCCTCAAAACTGTAAATACAAAAAAGTTGCACAAAATAGTTTCCTACCACAGGAAATTTATTTTAAGTGTCTTCATCGTTTTATTTTGAAATACACCAATTTTTATATACTGCAGGAAAAACAAAAATAAATATTCTAATGCAAATTTGTAAACAAAAAACAGCATGTGCATCAAAATAAACTATTTCCACCAGTGCAATATGAGTCCTAAGCATCCCAGAAATGAGACAGAAAGTCATAAAGTCAAAGATAACTTTTAAAAACACCAGTATAGGCTAATAAGGCCCTGATGGTAAAAAAAACTACATTTCCGCAAAATGACGTCACTTCCGGTTTCGGGCAGGTCATGGCAGACATGCGATAGTTCGCGCTTATGGACGTAGGAAGTGTTACAAACAGCTGATCGGATCAGCAAAGCCTGTTTCTGGAATATTAAGTTTTTGTTGCTGCAAGCGCTTTTTATGCAGGTTTTGCAAAGCTTTATGTGGAAGGAAACTGTGACCTAGGACAAGCTGATGGCATCAGATTTAAGTACAACTCCGGTTTCATATGCAAAAAAAATTTTTGCGCTAGCTTACGTGGTTGCAGTGCTACCGGGATTTAAAAATAGTTACGCAAAACAGAGCGTGCCCGCTCCGACCGGTTTTAAAGGTCCTGGTTTTTTCCAGTGTTGTAGAAAACTATTAACAAATGGTGTATCTTGTATTGACTCAGAACATTTTGCTGAAATCAGCTTTTTGTAAACATTTGAAAAAAAAAGAAAAAAAAGAAAGACAAAATCTACAGATCACAGATGTTTCTATCTGTACATCACCCATTAAGAGCGGCGCATATGTGTTTGCACAGCTTTTCATTGAACTGTATAACCAGAATGTCAGTGATGCAATGATTCACAATCCATCACAATTCCCAATTTGTTATAATGTGTGAAGTACAGAAAGAAAAAAAGTGATACATTACCTTGTCACTGCTTGCCCAAATTGCACAAAATACGGGCATGTCTATGCAGGATTATTATAGCTACATTATCATTAGAAACAATAGCCATGGAAAGAATAAAAATATGTTAACGTATCAGCATTTGACTTTACTGTCTTGATGCATGTTCAATCATTCAGGTAAGAAAATCCCAGAAAGTTTATTCTGTTCATCTGGATGTAGCGTTTGCAGTGATAGAAACACTTTGTCACACATCCAAGTGACTTTTTCAGACTCCGCTGAATGCAGAATTTTAACCAGTCTTAAAAACATTACCTTTGTATAATGACTGGAGCTAGCACCACTGAATGAACAATGGGCTGTGAGGTCAGGTTCATGATCGTTACAGTTTTTCTTGATTGCTTTGACCTGGATAAAGAAACTGGGATCATCATCACTATCTCAGCAGAGCAGAAGACACCTCTTGCAAATTTGTTAACCTTTTCTCAATTGACACAATTCCTGACCACCACTGACCACATCCTAAGACACAACCTTATGGCCACGAAGCAGCTCTACAGAGTTCGATTTCAAAGGAACTGTGGTGTTTTGAAGAAGGCCAGATGCCAATAGGTGGAGGTAAGGAAACTCCACTATACTGTAATAATGCCTTGTCACATCATGCAGTTAAAGTCAACTGGAGCCCCTTTCATTGTAATTTTGCTTGAAGCTGCGGGGGCACATCATGTCTTCATTTATGTTCAGTCTCTGCAAAGTGAGGAAACATGGAAGGGACCTCATTGGGTACAGGGCTACTTTCACAGTTCCAGGACAGAGGGGTGCCAACATAACCATGTGTGCTGCCATCTCCAATGAGGTTGTCCGATTCCATATCCCCACTATTGGCCCATACAACACATAACGCCTCATGACATTCCCGAATGCACTTCATGAGAGGCCAATCACACCTGAGGAGAGAAAGCTGTTGAGGCTCTTTGTCATTATCTGGGATAATGGGGCTTTCCACCACTCTCACCTTGTCATAGAGTGGTTTGCACTATAACCTTGTTTGATGATGCAGCTCCTCCCAGCATATTCCCCATTTTTGAATCCTATAGAGGAGATCTTCAGTGCTTGGAGGTGGAAGTTTTATGATCACCATCCCTATGAGTAGATGCCCTTGCTGGATGCAATGACTGCCACTGCAGAGGTGCAGAGGAATGTCAGGGTTGAATACGGCATGCAAGAAGATTTTTTCCCTCACTGTAGTATCAATAGTAGTTATTTCTTATACTGTAATAGTTTGTTGTTGTTGTTGTTGTTTTTACAGTATTTACAGTATTTACAGTATTTAGGTTTTCAGCAACAGGTTGAAAAAGTCATGGAATCAATAAAACTTAATCAAAGCAAGATGTCCACTACCTAGCACCATGCTACTTACCTTGCAAGTGGTGGACATCTTCTTAAGCTCCTTATGTAGGATGTGGTTGCATCTAATTAGCATGTTTTATTTATTTATAAATATTTATATTTCAAAAAATCGTATCAATCATATCAACTGGTATGTCATGAAATTCTTTTTTTAAAGTTGGGCATAGAATTTATTCTCAGTTAAAATTCATTCTCAATTAACTCAATTAGCTTTGAGGAGTTGATTTATTTGTTTATTTTTCTTAAACTGAGATGTCAGTTCTGTGTGCTTAGAGTGATTTTACTACATTCTGACACAAAAAGCAGATGAAAAAGTATATAAACAAACACAGACCAGAACACTTTCTGTAATGGTCTAATTAGGATAAATGTTAGTCTGACGATGCAATTGTTGTCTCAAAACAGTGGTACTAAACTGCTTCAGCTCTTCAGTCTCAGCTAACGCTAGTGATCTTTGTTTTGCACGAAACAAAGGAAGACGAAAGGTCTCTTGAGAAGCTTTTTATCTACCTTTGCAATGTCTTCCTTATATTTCTTTGCAGAGCATTGTTTGCACACTGAGGCAAACACAAAGTCACAGTCATCACTGACAAACAACTGTGGATGGAAACTTAAGCATTTCTGTGGTTGGGCCTTCAAAGAAAGATGTGAGGGGCTTTTCTTTCTGTCTCATTCTCTAATGCAATCTAAAGAAGATGGACTTGCACCACTATTCTAAAACATTTTGAAAAGTGAGATGACAATATGTAATCGTCATGAGTATAACAAAAAAGCTTACAAAGGCAATTAAAGAGTTAAACAGGGAAGGGTAGAGATCCACCTTCTCAGTCATATGTGACCATTGTTATCACACTTTTTTGTGTTTTCTTTTTTTCATAGTAGCCGGTATAAGAGGGGAGGTGCAAATCAATTGTTCCTCCAGGCCTCTGTGGCAACGGCAACTTTTAAAATGTTTGCCAAATTATTGTTTACAGGTTTGAAGCCCTGATGTGGTTTGTTTCCAACATGCCTGGCTTAGAACAGCGACGGACAGGCAGCTTGTCCAGATTATTATATAATTCATCTAAAAGTAGCTTGCTTAAGTCTGACTCTTCTCTCACTTCCTATCCAGTTCAAGTTAACAGTGAGTTCTGTTGTGAGTAAACAGCTTCAGTGGTTGGTCAAAGGATGGAGACATGGCCCACCACAACCTTTGTCTGTCAGTGTTGCTGTTGCATGTGGCTTTGCTTATTGTTCTCTTGAGAGAAATGCGGAGGGCCTTTAGAAAGTGCTGTGCGACCAGCAAGAACCTTTATTCATCCGAATGTATATCTTTAAACCCTTTTGTAAAATCAAGAGATCGGCTGTTTTAGTGTAATAAAAACCCATTTGTCCATCTAAGGTCGTGGCGGACACATGTACAATTGTAATATATACAGTTCTTTAACAGAACTGCAGTCTGTCATCAAGTTCCCGTCTTTATCTTCTAGCACTTTACCTTTGCTTGATACCATATCCAAATGATAGCAGAATTAGGACATGGTATGCAGCCAAAGATAAAGAGGCTAGTTTCACAGAAGATATTTAAGACGGTAAAACCTTAAATATAATGCTGTCTCACATTACTAATTGCAGTAATGTTTCCATTGTGCTTATAATGCTATGACAAAGCATGTACAAGATTGGTAGCTATAACTTGGGATACTATGAGTGATTAAGTGCTAAGTATTGAGACAGATTGGTGTCCAAAATATGATAAATTCTGTCAAGCATTTGGAATCAGTATTATTATAGTACAATAATCTTTTGTGTGTGAAAACTGACACAAATTTCCATTTTTCCCCCCAAATTTAAAGGGACAATGCTGTTTAGGCTACTGGTACTGGCTCTAGTCTAGTTCTAACAACACAGGGACACAAGAAAAAAACGTGTGCATATTCAACCAATGTGAAATTGTTAATTTGTTTGCTGCATTTTGAAGATGTATTAAGATGTGAAATCAGAAGACTGGATTGAGCTTAACTGTCACTGTGAAAAGTACCCCACACCAGTCTGCATATAAGTAACCTAAGCAGGAAGAGACACACAAAACCAGCATACAGAGTTGGGGAGGTGGTTGAAATAACACCCTTCATTCTCCTTAGTCACCTCAGAGGACTGTTTCATGGTGTCACAAACAAATACAATGACTTGAAAAAGCTGAGAAGTTTCTTGCTTCTTAGGTCTGTTCTGAGGAAACCGCTTCAGAGGTTGGTCAGAGGCCTTCCACACCCTTCATTTGTGAGTGTGGCAGTTGAATGTATCTTTGAATCACTGAAATGTTAGATGAAAACACTTTCACATCAGACATTCAGACTATAAGCACGGATTGTATTTCTAACATGATTCGGTTAAACATGAGAAAGCTGTCATACACTTTGGCAACCTAATACTTGTACAGTTAGAATACAGTGATGTATATTATTGGCAGTTGACACATATAAAGCTCTGTTTCTACTGTGCCTACAAGCCTTCCCTAAAACCCACAGGTGGTGTAGCTCTCAAAATATCTCTTTTCTGTATCATTTGAAATTAAAAATGTTCCTAAATATTTATAATATTTAAAGTTAGGTCATTACTATTTTAATTGATCAACCTAATTTTCTAAACTCTGGTAAACTGGAACATTTTAGTTTATGACATAAAATAGCTTGCATCATAAGAGTGAGGTCTGTCTGATTTACAAACACGATGAAGCTAAAACAAATTCCCAGAGCTTGTGCTGGGATTATGATTGTTCTAGGATGCCCTCTGGATCCAGTGGAGGTGGTGAATGTCAGGAGATCGCTGGCTAAGCTGTCATCGCTGTTGGACCACATCTCCCACCCCATGCAGGAGATTCTGACAGCACTGAGCAGCTCCTTCAGTGGCTGCAGCACCCACGATGTGGGATGGAGGGATTCTGCAGGTTCTTTCTTCCAACTGCTGTCATCTTATCGTATCTTATCAACAAGAATTTCAGTCATACTTTAAATATTCAGAATAAATAAACTGATAATTGCTTTCACACGTCTACCAAACGCTACTAAGAAACAAATACATCTGTTACCAAATGAAAAGATAAAACATGTTTCCTAAACAGGAGGAAGGTCATTTCCTATATTTTCACTGACTTCTGCTCTGAAAATATTCATCACCTTGCGACTAAAACTTCCATTTGGGCAAGAGGAGCTCATAGTGTGCGATAAGAGCGCTGCACTTTGTACACCATGTAAGTACATTTCTTTGCTAGAGAGAAAAGCATGATAGTAAACTGTTGTTTGTACTGCACTGCACATCTTTACTAAGGCTGTTTATTAATGTTTGTAACAATAATTGCTTTGATTTGTCATTTTGTTAACTGTAATTTTTCTTTCTTTAGTCCTGATTCTGGCTGCTGACCTTCGTCAACCGATTTCTTTGACTGCTGTTGAACCTGGTGACAATGTCACTTTAGTGTGTAATGTCTCTGGGATGGAATTTAAATTTTTCTACTGGCATAAACAGCCTCTTGGACATATGGTCCAAAATGTTGCCAAAGTCATCTGTGGCCAAAGCACTATTTCTGAGGAATTCAAGGATTCACGTTTCACAGTTATAAAAAGGGCATCTCAGTATTTTTTAACTATCAGAAATGTCAGTAAAGAGGATGAAGCAACATATTTCTGTCACACTGGAACAGATTATGCTCCTAAATTCAGTGGTGGCACATTCTTGGCTGTGAATGGTAAAATGTTTTTCTTTTTCTGCCGATCTCACAGATCACACTCAAAGTTTTAATGAATTTAAAATAGTTTACATTGTGAATGTGTCTTAATTGAGGGCGACCATGGCTCAGGGGGTTGGGAAGCGTATCTGTAATCGGAAGGTCGCTGGTTCGATCCCCGGGCTCTCTGTCCTGGTCGTTGTGTCCTTGGGCAAGACACTTTACCCTGCCACCTACTGGTGTTGGCCAGAGGGGCCGATGGCGTGATATGGCAGCCTCGCTTCTGTCAGTCTGCAGCTGTGGCTACAACCGTAGCTGCCTCCACCAGTGTGTGTGAATGCGAGAGTGAATGAATAGTGGCATTGTAAAGTGCTTTGGGTGCCTTGAAAAGCGCTATATAAATCCAATCCATTATTATTATTAATTCACAGATCACATTCACCATTCATCTGTCTATGTGAAACAAAGTCAACAGAAGGCATCAGTTCATCTGGGAGACTCAGTAACATTAAATTGTTCTCTTTTCTCTAACAACAATGAAAAATCAGTCCAATGTTTAGATGAGCACAGAGTGTACTGGTTCAGAGTTCAGAGTTTCAACCTGTTGACAAGGCAACATTGGATCAATCAAATAATTTGGTAAATGTGTGCCACTTTAAAATTAATCGAGCTGTGTACTATAGTTTTTTTTTAAATGCCATATTAGAGATGGTCTCAAATGATACATTTAGACAAAAACAAAAGCTCTAATCTATAAAATATAAATAACACTTAGGTATGTGAACATTTTGCAGAATGACAAAGACAGGACAACCAACTTTGCAGCACTGCGTTTCTCCACAAAAAGAAAGAACAGAAGAGTGTACACAGTGTGTACTCTGTTCTCAAAGCAGATAATTACACCTAATGCCCTTTCTAATGTATGAGCAGTCCTTGAGTACCAGACATAGTATATTTATAAGTTATTAGCATTTAATAATAGCTGCAGCCTCACAGAAATAGAAAATAATTTTGTTTTTGTTTTCTTGTGAGAGAGCGCTAGCCTTTCAGTTTGATAATTAACACCCCAACTTACTTGGTACAAGTTTAACATTTATGCATGTCATTAATATTTATATTTTGTGTTTGTATTGTATTTGTAAATGTGTATTTTTGTATTACTTTCTCATATAGGAAAACTGATTGTAGGCTACTTCAGTGTGTCTGTATGTGAGTTACATTTTTGTTGAACTTCTATTGAGTTTTATGTTTCTGGATTGATTTGATTTCTAGCTTTCCACAGTGTTTCACTGACTTCTCCTCCTGTTTTGACTCTGTGTTAATGTCTTGGTACTACTGTATCCCCAAGTCTGTTAATGTCTGTTTTCTCTAAAGGTGGGTTTTGCTTTTTGCTGTGTGATTGTCCCATTATTTTCACCTGCAATTCTTCTTACCTGTATCCTGGCCCTTTTTGATAATAACATGGTGATAGCAGAGCTCAGTAACAAAGGGTTAATAATTATTGTCTTTACAACATTAATGAATCCAAGTGTTGTACAGGGCCAAAAACAAGAGCAATAATCACTAAATAGCAAATGCATTTAGAAATATAGTAATATTTTAATATAGTAACAATTTAGTTAAAAGAAGAGTAATACAACAACATTATAGCTTTATTTTTTCACATTTCAAGCTTTTTCAGCTGCTTATAATTAGCATCGTATAATGTTTTGATATGCTGAACTGAAAAGTCTTTAGGTAAGATGTGAAAAATATAGTGAAATCTCATGTTCCTGGGGAGTTTGAGGCGTAAGCAAGAAGTCTATTTTAAACTGTTCCAATGACGTTGGTTTACAGTTTCTTAGATTTATTTAATAAATGTAAGCAATCTTCTGCTCCTGAGAGCAGTCAGGAGCCAGGTCAAATGACAATATGAGAGCCGCTTATTCTGTTCCTCAGTTCAAAGTAAGGCTGCATTGGTGCCGCCCTATAAACGACAATAGTGACAAATATAGTGCTGGACTGGTGGGGCAGACAGTTTGGTCTCTTGACTCAAGAGCAGTGGTTGATACCCCAGGGAAGCCTCAAACTGGGTACAAACCAGTGGCAAAGGAGGTCAGGGAATTACGGGCATGCTCAACCCTGGCCAGGTGCAAGCTCCAGGTGCACAGATAAGTCTAGCTTCTGGTTCACCGTCTCCTCTCGGTCTGCCCTTTAGTCTACCTGTGGAAACCAGAAGTGAAGACCATCATTCCACCTCTCTTCTCAGGTGGAGAGCTGGCCTAGCTTTTCCTTACTATCCCACCTTTGGGTGGAGTTCATGCTTTCTTAAGCTTCTTGACTTTTAGACATCACACATATTCAGCATTCACTCATCAGCTTGCAATATTTAAAGACTGGCTCATGCTTCCACTTTATGGCAGATTGTTGCATTCTCTAGTGATCGGTGGGTCCTCTGATGTTTTCTTCTTCTATCCATTTATTTTAAAATATTTTGAAATACATCTTGAATACCGTTGCTGGTCTTTCTGATTCAAAACATTTCAGTGGACTTTTGTCCATAGAAACTAAATGTCAAGCTGAAATCGGGTCCTTTGTATACCATGTAAGTGGATTTGTTTTCTAGTAGAAAAATCATGATGTTCTTTGTACTGTGCTAAGATGTACTGCTATGTATTAATCCTTGTATTATTTGTCTCTTATTGGTCCTCTTATTTATCTTTCTTCTGAAGCACTGATTCACACTGCAGAGGTTCCTTAGACGATCTTTTTGACTTGGCAAAATTATTGTATCTGATGAATTCATTCACATTTCAGAATGAGAAAAGAAGCATCTCAATATGTTTTACTATCATAAAAATCAGTAAAGAGAATAAAGCAGAATATTTCTGTCAAATGGGGGTTGGGTATTCACATGTTTTTAGCAATGACACATTCTTGACTGTGAAAGTTAATATTTATCTTTTTTGAACATCTTTTTTAAATTAATTAAAAAAGAGATGTTAATACAATTATCTTAATTCACAGATCAAACAATTTCTGTGCCCAAGTTTGATTCATGTTGCCTCAGTCTGGTTTTTGCTGCACTCCTGCAACAGACCTTCATCTTTTGTTCATTCATTCTGAGTCTGTATTTGGGTCCTAACTCCACTACATTGTTCACTATGACTATTTCAATGTTAATGACATAGATTCTAAAATATCCAGCCCTGGTGATGACAAATGTTTAGAAAACTGCCAAATGAAGTTGGACAATACTGTATTTGCACTAGAAGGTGTTCTATTTATTAATTACATTTAAATTACATTTATTAATTGTGTTAATGTTGAGAAATACAATAACCATAAGAATAAGGACATTATGTTACAACAAAGTCCCAAAAATATAGTAAAGACAATGATGCCAAATGATAAATTACATCCACTGTTGATTATTGCTTTATCCTGTCTATACCAGACAGTGCAATGATCAAAATCACTTATTTTACGGATGTTGGAATCTTTAATCTTCTCTGATGTTTCCCCTGTTTGAATACATCAGTAATTTCCAGTTACTCTTTGATTGTGGTTACAATACTTTTCTTTCTTTTTTACTTATTCATGGTGATATCATCATGTAAATCATAAAATAGAAACAGAAAAATACAGTTGGGGTAGATTGCATATTCACTATATAATAACAAACAATAATAATCCCCTGATTTCATAGCTTTCTGTTTTTGACATTTTAACTTCAATGGGTATGTGCCAGTGTAGTATGCACCCTAATTACCTGAGTATCATACATTCCAGGCAAAACTAGGAATGTTAGTATTCAGGACTGATCTTGACATGTATGCAAGTATGTACATTTTCAATTTAAATACATCTAGACATTAATAATAATGCCTATGGAAAGACAATACATAAAAACCTATTAGCTCCAAATTAACAGCAAAAAAAGTTTATTTCATTCCAAAGGATGGTAAATAGACCTAATCGAGCCCAAAAGCCTTGACAGCCATGTGAATCTGCCGCTGTTTTGCTGCCTTTGGATCTGTTCTTTTACTTCTTTCAGCTTCCATCATGGTAAAGACAACAGCAGAGAAAATCCATGTGTCCTTATTTAGGGAAAATACAGCCATTAAAATATTAGATATATCAAAACTTTAAAAAATAAACAGAAAAAAATTATGAAAATAATTTTAGCTTTAAGTACTGTACCTGTTGCCCTTTCTGACAACTAAAGTTTTTCTGCAGGACTGCAACTTAATTATGAAACACAGAGGAAACAGTTAATAAAAATGTAAGATTTATATGCTTTTATTACACAAAGAACTACAACCAATTTAAATTACCTTTGGAATGATCACTGTTGTTTATCTTGATTGTGTATATGAGGACAGCAGTAACAATCAGACTTACAACCAAGACAGCAAAGATCAAAAAAGAGCTCTACTGGCTGTCTGTGACCACACACTGCTTTCTGCAGTCACATTAAAATAAAAGATAAAAGGAAAATATGAGATTAGTGTGTAATAAAAAGGCTCATGGTTACTTGTAAAAGTGCAAGTTCACATATATTTTACATTTGATAGACCAATGATAACGTTACCTCGAGTATCCAGTGTAATTCCATTTCCAAATAATATCTCCCCACATGTGGCCACAGCACAGTAGTAAGTCCCAGCATCAGAGGAGCTGACATTCTTAGAGAAGTGATAAAGACACCTCTCCTGTGAGTCAGATTTTTTCTCACATTCATTATAGCTATTTGTGTCAGTGTAGATGGTGTTTGGATAAATATTATTTAATCCAGTTCTGAACCAGAGAATATTGAGACCTCCTGGACATGTCTTGTTCTCAGAGTCAGAGAAGACTGAACACTGAAGAGTCATTGTGTCTCCTGGATGGACTGGATTCGATTCTATCAGCAACTGACTGACTGCATAGTTTGATGTCCTCTGAGTGTTTCCTGTGCAATTACAAAGACATTCTTCAAAACATGCTTAGAAAAAAATGCCAAAGTTTGTCAAAATAGGTTGGCCTATTACCTTTTACTAACAAATACATCCCACTCCATGTAGTTCCAATCCATTCTGTGTTTGCACAGTGATAGAGTCCCTCATCCTCTTGAACTGTCTTTAAAATGGTCAAGCTGGTAAAATTCTTACCATCGTATACTCCAAATCTTAAGCTCGAAAATCCAGGACCAAAATCAGCTGTAGATTTATACAGTGTAACTATTAATTTAAGAGTATCCCCGACACTCTGCTTGTACCAGTTGACTCCTCTAATGCTGAGCTCTTTGGGAATAGCACATGTTAAGGTTGCTGGTTCACCAAGCTGAACAGTTTTAACTGGAACCAGAGAATCTGAATTAAGAGAAAAGATAGGAAGATAGAAAGAATTACAAGCTTTGTAAAAGTAGGTCTTTTTTTTCCTTCTATAAACAAACTCCATTTAACTCCAATCCTTTCTGTGTTTGCACAGTGATAGATTCCCTCATCGTCTTGATCTGCTTTCAAAATGGTCAGGCTGGCAAAATCATCACCTATGTCAAATTTCAAACTAGTAAATTCAGGACCAAAAGTAGGTTCTGTAGATTTGAATACTGTCACTATTAACGTCAGTTTTCCCAAAGCTCTGCTTGTACCAGTGGACTCCTCTACTGCTGAGCTCTTTGGGTATAGCACATGTTATAGTCGCTGGTTCACCAAGCTGAACAGTTTTCACTGGAACTACAGTATCTGAATTAAGAGAAAGCAGAAAAAAAAGTAACTTGAAGAGAAAAAAAGAAAAAAACAAATATTGTTTGATGTGGTAACCTATTAGTGCAAAACTACTTTAACAACAATTTATACATACCTATTTGACAGGTAAATACTTAAGAACATTTTTGACATTTTTTTTTTAAAAAGCACTTACATCCTTGGTGAAGAAAAAACAATGTAATCCATAAGATGATCATCGTGACAGTGTTTTCTCTTGGGGACCTTACCCGTATTTCAGTGAGTGGAGGAGGTAAGATGATTGTTTTAAGTCAGACAGTATCTGATTGGTTAACACACAATAGATTCAAAAGTACATTTCCTGTCACATTTGTCACCTCTCTTTCATCTTTTGTTACAACTGTCCGTTTTTGTAACAATAGCGCTGTTGCCTCTATGGGATTGTTATTCTTGTCCTTAACCCTTAGGCACTCAAACAGGACTAAGCTCAGTCACTACTGCTATTTGTGGCATGAAGTGCAAGGTACACATATACAGACCCTTTCCAAAAAATTTGAATATCATGGAAAAGTTTATTTATTTCCATACTTCTATTCAAAATGTTAAACTTTCATAAATTATAGATTCAGGGCCCACAACTTAAATGATTTCAAGTATTTAGTTGTGTATTTGTACATAATCTGGGCTTCCAGCTTATAAAACCCACAAAAACAGGAATTCAAAAAATTAGAATACTGTAGAAAACATCAGCGCAGCGCATGAATGTTTTAAATTGAGTGTCACAAACAACTCATTTACTAAACTCAAAGCACCTGCACAGGTTTTCCCAGGTGTCATTAAATTGCTTCACTTTGGTTCAGTTGTCTCAGTTAGGTTCAATATATGGGGAAGACTGCAGACTTGACAACTGTCCAGAGGAGCATCATTGATACCCTCCATAGGATGGGTAAGCTACAAAAGTTCATAGCTAAAGAGGCTGGCTGTTCACAGAGTGCTGTGTCCAAGCATATCAATGGAAAGTCTAGTGGAAGGGCAAAATGTGGCAGGAGAAGATGCACCAGAAGAAGAGATGACTGTGGCCTTCAGTGGATTTTCAAACAGAGAAGATTCAAGAATCTGGCAGAGATCCAGAAAGAGTGGAATGAGGCTGGAGTCACAGCTTCAAAAGCCACCACATTCAGACGGCTCTTGGAGATGGACTACAATTGTATTGTTCCTCAGGTCAAACCACTTCTGAGACTGAGCCAATGTTGGTAGCAACTCAACTGGGCCAAGGAGAAAGACTGGACTGTTGGCCAGTGGTCCAAGGTCCTCTTTCCTGATTAAAGTGTGCCTTTCATTTGGCAATCAAGGTCCAAGGGTTTGGAGGAAGACGGGTGAGGAACAGAAACCAAGCTGGTGGAGGTCCAGTGTGAAATATCCACAGTCAGTCATGATTTGGGGTGCAATGTATAGTGCAGGTGTTGGTAAACTCTGCTTTCTTAAATCAAAGGTAAGCCAAGGTAAGCCATACAGACTTGGTGTAGGTTCCCCTGGGTATAGCCTGCGTTATGAAGTCTGGTTAGTAGCATTGTCTTGTTCTAACTGCTTTAGACAATATATCACCCTCTTCCTGTAAACACTTCCTGGGTCTCATTTCAGGGGCTCATAAGTATTTTTGTTACTGAGCAGTGACAAAATTTTCTCATGATAGTCTTTCTGGTTTAGCAAAACTGTGCACCTATCCTTGTCTGCCAGAAGGACAGTGTTGGGGAGTAACGGAATACACGTACCGCCGTTAAGTATTTAAAATACAAAATATGAGTAACTGTATTTTGCTACAGTTACTGTTTAACAGGTGGTGTTCAGAATACAGTTAATTTGTTGAAATATAGGGATTACACAGCGGTCTTTTCCTGTTTCATATGTTAAGCTGTCCCCTCTTTTTTGTGGTAATTCCACGCCGGTGGAAACCCACAAAACACACATTAAGAGGCTCAAATGCCTGGGTCTCAATCTGGCGTCCCATGTCACCCCCACTTGCGGCCCGCATAATAAAGTGAAGAAATATCTTTAAAAGATTATTTTTCAAAAAGAATTTTAATATGAGGGCAATAGGTAGAGTGTTACAGGCATTTCCCTAAAGAATGTAGCCTAATGGGCAGTGTAGCCCAGTTGTAAGTAAGCTATTATGACTCGACTGTACACTGTGTTTGTGTTTTTCTCTAAACAATAAGTTCCGTTGGAGCAGCCTTTCAACGCCTCTCTCTGTCTCTCGCAAGAAAAGTCGACCCAGACAACAAAGTGAAGTTAGTTTTCGGCTACGAGCCGACACAAACCTGACGGATTAGCCAGAGGTCCCTTTACTACCGTTCGGAGCCGCAGACCTGTTTTATATATGCACAGAATAGTTTTCTATACGAGATCGCTGCAAAAAGTGCAGCTTTACCCAATGTCCACCTACTGTTACTCATTTTATATTAAGATTTAAAAATCTAGTTGGTATTGGTATGGCAAGTATCTTTCAGTAATATTAATAATCACTCAGCAATAGTACATTCATGTAGTGGTAAAAAATTCGATAATATATTAAGTAATCCAAAGTATTCAGAATACGTTACTCTCACTGAGTACCGCAACGGAATACGTTACAGAATACATTTTGGGGCATGCAATCTGTAATCTGTAGTGGAATACATTTTAAAAGTAACCTTCCCAACACTGGTCGTCTGGAAGATTTTTTTTGGTTGGAGGCCCTTAATTGAAGAGCTCATTTGCACACTCATACCACAAACTATACTTAGGGAATCTACGCTAAGTCACAACACCTTGGATTTTGTTGGGAAGGTGAGAGATGTCATTATATAGCCAGATCAAACAATGGTCTCGTACAATGTTACATCTCGCTTCACTTGTGTTCCAGTCACTGAAGCGTTGGAGGTAGTTCATAACCGATACAGATGACCCTAACCCAGGGGTAGGCAACCTGCGGCTCCGGAGCCGCATGCGGCTCTTTAGTCCTTATAGTGCAGCTCCGCGTGGTTTGGGAAAATAAATTAGAAGCATTTAGCTGAAGTTTATTTTATTTATGTTAGTTCTTTTTTAACTTGTAGTTCTAAATTGGAAGATTATTGTGATATTGAAATACAAAAAATAAAATTATATTCTATTATTTTTTCATCGCTCAAAGTAAGCGTCACACTCGCGGAAGCCGGTATACCTGCCGAAACGCCGTGCATTTATCGAGACTTTCAACCCCAGGTAGGTCAATTATGGATCTTCGGATCCACATTATGTCAGCAGCTGTTCTCCACCGTGAACTATGTTAGAAACAAACACCGCTCACGCCTCACAGATGACAGCTTACAGTCCAGCGTAAAGATGAAAGTGACTTCGTACAGACCCGATCTGCAGACGCTGTGCGCAGAGGTTCAGGAGCAGAAGTTCCATTGTAAACACATCACGGCAGACCCGACGATGTTTCCATGAACACGGTTGCTGACGCATACAGCCGGCTGTAGCTTTTCAGCTCACAGCCTGACACATACCAACACAACAGCACAGACGTAAAGGCGGCGAGGCATGATTGCGGGTGCCGCTCAGGTGTGTCCCCCTCCCCTGCAGCGGCGCTGCAGACCACGCCCCGCCACACCCATTAACCAGGTAAAATACATATTTAGGCAGAATTTTGTAAATATCTATTTTTCATTTTTTAGCAGAATAGAGCTTTTTTTCAAATTATTTTTTTTAAAAGTCAGGTCAAGGCTCCAAAAGCCCAAAGGCGATATAAGGGTGGCGGCTCACAACAGTTTTTGTTTGCTACGTGGATCATTTTAGTTCAGCTGGGTGTCTTTCCTTTTGTTATATTTCTTTAAGAGTTCAAAAAGTGTTAATTGCATAAATAAAATGTAATTTTCTCTGTAGCACTTCAAGGATTTCATAAGCAACACACCTTAGTTGTTCAAACAAGGCATAAAGGTAAAAAACAATATATACAGTGTTATCTTCATATTAGATGTCAAAAAGTATTTGCGGCTCCCAGTGTTTTCTTTTGCGTGGAAACCGGGTCCAAATGGTTCTTTCGATGTTAAAGGTTGCTGACCCCTGCCCTAACCCTGGATCCAACTCCATCATCAAGTTTGCAGATGACACCACGGTGATTGGTCTCATCAGTGACAATGCTGAGTCTGGCTACAGGGAAGAAGTAATGCAACTAGCTATGTGGTGTGCTGACAATGACCTGCTTCTGAATACCAGCAAAATCAAAGAGATCATTGTGGACTTGAGGAGAGAGAAGAGAGACACCCATCCCATGCCCCCATCTACGTAAATGGCACAGCTGTTGAAACGGGTCTCCAGCTTCAAGTTCTTGGGGACGCACATCTCTGAGAATCTGTCCTGGTCAACTAACACCTCCAGCCTGGTCGAGAAGGCACATCAGTGCCTGTTTTTTCTTGAGAGCACTGAAGAAGAACCACCAACGTCTACCACTGTGCGATAGACAGCATCCTGACCAGCTGTGTTGCTGACTGCAAGGCACTGCAGCGGGTGGTGAAAACATCTACAACAACCTGCATGACCTGTGGCAAATAAATAGGTCTTATAGTTTAATCAAATAGTTCGCTGTAATTTCCTAGTACAGTTCTGTGTCTGGCCTGTGGTCAGATCTTACACAAACAGCTACAAGCAAGAAAGCTAACGATTGTAAAATATCTTTTCAAACAGGACACCGATAACTTGATTATTCTTTTCACATGTTCTTCATCTTCTTTTAGTACTTCGTACATCCTTTTTGTGCACAACATTGCTTGCACCTGAAACACACAAAGACAAAAATAGCCATGGTTGATGCATGATGGAAACTTAAGCATTGCTGTGGTTGGGCTTTCAAACAGGGGTGTGAATACAAACAGGGTTTCTTCTTGTCTCTTTCAATCTCAGGTATCTGATCTTGAAACACTGTGTCATTTGTTTGTTTGTTTTGTTTGCTGTTGTTTTTAAAGGGAAATGATAATACTATAGTTTTAATGTGACTAGTTTTTATATCAGAACAAACATCTGGAGTTGTTAAAGCCTATGTGAGAAACAGACACCAACACTCAGACCTGTTCAGTCATGCTGTGACTGATTTCAGTAACACTGTGGTTTGTTTTTGTTTGTTTTCATTGGTAATTGCAAGGAAACCAGGGGAGGTGCTCATGATTCACTTGTACTACTCTGGTCTCTCTTTTTTTTCTTTTTTTCATAAGATTACAAGAGT